CCTCTCTGGTTCAGGGTGTATCATCTGAGAACCGCAGCTGCCAAGTCACTGCAGCTTGACAGCTCCTGTGTTGAGAGTCTGCCTCCTGGTGGTCATTGAGTATCATAGCTACTGGCTCGTCAGCCAGCAAGCTAGTTGCTTAGGCTTTTATACACACACACACACACACACACACAAACACACACAAAATTTCAGAGAGGGAGAGAGGGATAGAAATGCCAATGGTGAAAATCATTAATCAGCTGCCTCCTGCACCACCCACTGGGGATGTAGTCTGCAATGTGGGCATGTGCCCTGACTGAGAATTGAGACATGACCTCCTGGTTCATAGATCTATGCTCAACCACTGTAACACACCTGCCGGGTCAGATATGTCTTTAAATATCCTGAAACTGGTGTCGTTACAGAGGACAATTTGCAGAGAGTTCGTAATGTTTTTGAAAAATGGGAAGATGACAAACTGAAAACACAAATAAATGAAAAAAATATGACCTGTTCTTCAGCACAGCTTAAGAAAATACAACCTGAAATGAATGCACAAACATCCCAGCATACCACTGGTTCCCAGCACCTGTCAACTGGAGGCTTCCTTCAGCGCCAGCCTGATCGCCTCTCCACGTACGCCACTGATCTCGTCCTCATCCTCTGAGCCTGTTTATTAGTTCTAGTTTTATTTAATTTAGAAAGGTGATTTGTCATGTTAAATTTATACAGTGCAAAAAATACAAAGAAGAAAACAAAAATCCCAATAAGCTCTGTAATCAGAGAGAGCCCTATTATTTGGGGACATATCTTCTAATCCAACTGTCCACATAGCCATAAAGTGAATGAATATGTAAATATCTACATTTCTATATATTAAAAGGTATATATGTAGATACATTTTAGCATAAGTCCTGTTTTGAAGTCTTTTTATTTAACCATTTAAGGTTGTCTCTAAATTATACATATCACTTTATTCTGCCACAGCTTGGTTTTAATGTCAATCCTCCGTCTTGTGACTGTACAATAATTCACTAAGTAACATCTTTGCTGTTGGCCATGTAGGAAGTTTCTACTTTGCCCACTGAAACCAGTGCAGCCAGGCTGACCTGGACACTGACTGCATGGCTGGAGGCCCAGACGGGGAGATGACTCTGCAAGGGTTCAGGGCCTGCCTGCCCTCCAGGGGAGCTTCTGCAGTTGGAAGTGGCCTCGCTGGTTGAGCCACACACCCCACCGGGAATACGTGCTTGGGGCTCCGAGAAGCCCCTCTCAGAGTCATTGCTCTGCAGGACACAAATGTACATGGTGCAGAGGGCTACGGGAATGGCTGCTGCCAGGGAGCTCGTGCATCTTATGCCCAGGGACCATAGGTGAGGAGTCACCACACCGGCAGAGGAATGGGATAGCCCATCCGCACAGGACCGAGGGATCCCACGTAGGCACCTCCATTTTAATGCAGCAGGCCTGACCTCTAAGGGGTAGGACCACAAAGATTCAGATCCTCCACCCCAGGAATGAAGGAATGGGCTGCATGGCGAGGCAAGACACCCACATCAGCCAAAGTAGGTCTGTGGGTGAGGGAAAAGGTGACCTGTCACAGCCTTGCACATGGTGTTGGGTGGGGCTCACCCCATTCACCACCTTCTGAGATTTCCTTTGGGAAAATAAGGCTTGAGGCTCCCCAACTTTGTGGGGGGAACAGATCCATGAACCCTGAAAATGAGCCTCTCAGATCTTTACCTGTGGGAATGTCAGATCTAAAACCTGTGGCTGCCGAGACCAGTTTGGCTCAATGGAAAGAGCGTCGGCTTGGGGACTGAAGGGTCCCGGGTTCGATTCCGGTCAAGGGCATGTACCTTGGTTGCGGGCATATCCCCAGTAGGGGGTATGCAAGAGGCAGCTGATCGATGACTCTCTCTCATCGATGTTTCTAACTCTCTATCTCTCCCCCTTCCTCTCTGTACAAAATCAATAAAAATATATTTAAAACCTGTGGCCTTCATGCCACGGCCGTGCTTACCCTGGCCTCTCCCAGTCCACAACAGAAAGTTGCAAAGGATACTAGTATAGACCCATCCTAGGACACATAGGACTCCTTTGATGGGTGACTCTGGCTCAGGACTTCCTGATGTGTGCTATACACCCTTAAGACTACACTGCAGTCTGAGACTATTCCACCCAATCACTCCTTCCTCCCACCCTTCTTCACTAGACTGAGACATGAATCACAGTCTGCTGGCTTTCCCAGGCTCCACCAAATCCCTGCCCATTGTCCCTCTCAGGTATCCCCTCTGATACATAATATTTAATTCCATGTGCTGCTTGTTTCTTGGGGGATCCAGACACAGGCACATAGAAAATCCAGTGAACCTACAGATAAACTACTAGAATTAATAGACTATTGCTAGGCTAATTTAGCAACACGTCAGAATACAAAATCAATTTATAAAACTTAATCACATTTCTGTGTATCAGTAGCAGGAAGAAAATTATATTTTAAATAAAAATACCACTTTTAATAGCATTTTTAAAAGTGAAGCCCCTTGAAACAAATCTAATAGAAGTTGTGCAAACCCATTATCAGAAGTTTATAAAATTCTAAAAGACATTAAGAAAACCTAAGTAAATGTAGAAATATATACTATGTTCATAGATTAGAAGAATCAATATTATAAACATGCCACCTCTCTCCAAATTGACTTATAGATATAATACAACCCTCATCAAAATACCATTATTTTGGCGGTGTGGAGACTGGATTCTAAAATTTATATGAAATAAAAAAGGTCAGAAATAGCCAGGGCATTCTTGAAGAAGAGTCAAGAAGTTTGAAACACGCTCCTTCAGAGGTACCAATCTCTATCATAAAACTAGAGAAATTTAGACACTCTCATATTGATGCAAGGAGAAATACTTTGACCAATGGAGGGGGGAAAAAACATCTATAGGTTTTTGCTTTATGGCAGAGGTAGTATTTCAATTAGACTTTTCAATTATTGGTGTTTGGAACTAGATACATTTATAAAAAAAATCAATGAAATCGGACTCTTACCTCATACCATATGTAAAAATTGATTCCAACTAAATTAAAATATGAAAGACAAAGCTATTAAGTTTTTAGAATGAAATATAGGACACTATCTTCCATGATTTCAGAGTACAAAAGCATTTCTTAAACAAAACACATTTGCTAACCATAACATTTTATAAATCATAAAGATTGATAGATGATTCTATGCTGAAGTTTAAAATAAGAAAAGACAACACAAAGAAAGCATGCCAGAAATTGCAAGGGTGTACAATATTGTAACTGACAAAAGATGAGCATATAAAACATATAAAGAACTCCTATAAACCAATAATAAGATGGCAAACAACCCTTCAAAAAGTACTAGAAACCTGTAACCAAAAAATGAGAATATTCAAATAACCAGTAAAATATCCAACCTCATAAATACTTAATATAAATTAAAGCCACAACATACCATAATATAGCAGCCAGATCTGACATAACTTTGGCAATGCCAAGAGTTCCAGGATACTAAGCAAGAACTTTCAAAAACATGGGGTAGGAATGAAATTTGGCACATTTTGTCAAGTAGTTCGGCACTACATAGTAAAGTTGAAGTTATCCTATGACTTAGCAATTCCACTCCTGGTATTTACTCTAGAAAAACTTTTGCATGTAAGCCCAAAGAAACATTCAAGAATGTTCACATCAGCAATGTTTGTGATAACTGAAAATTGCAAATAATACAAACATCCATTAACAATAGAATGGCTGAGTAAATTGTATAATCAAAACATTGGGATACAGGTATACCTCAGAGATATTGCAGGTTTATTCCAGACCACCACAATTAAGCAAATACCCGTGTTACCCCGAAAATAAGACATCTTCCGAAAATAATACCTACTTACAGGTTTCCTTCTGGGTGAAATATAAGGCATCCCCCCGCAAATAAGCCCCTTCTCCCCCCCACCCCCCAGGCTAAACATGAGAGATTTGATCCACTGATTCAGAAAGAAATGGATTCACAAGAAATTCACCAGGAAATTTAGGAATTGGATTGTTATAATGATGTTCCAGATGATGATGATATGATTGTCATTGAATAAATGAGTAAATTCTTGATACTGTAGGATTCACAGTTTGTCTGGTTTGTGTTGACAACTACCGTACTATACAGGTAATAAATTTCCTTTATTTTCATTTAACAATAAATGTGTACTGTATTCTTCATGGAAAAATTAGACATCCCCTGAAAATAAGACCTAGCGCATCTTGGGGAACAAAAATTAATATAAGACATTGTCTGTCTTATTTTCGGGGAAACAGGGTAGTATAATAAAGTGCCCTGACCAGTTTGGCTCAGTGGAGGGAATATCGGCCTGTGGACTCAAGGGTTTGATTCCGGTCAAGGGCATGTACCTTGGTTGCGGGCACATTTCCAGTGAGGGGTGTGCAAGAGGCAGTTGATTGATGTTTCTCTCTCATCTATGTTTCTAACTCTCTCTCCCTCTCCCTTCTTCTCTGTAAAAATCAATAAAATATATATATTTAAAAATAATGTAATAAAGCGAGTGACAATTTTTTTATTTCCTACTGAATGTAAAGGTTTTTTATACTGTGTAGTCTATTAAGTGTGCAATGGTCTTATGTCTAATAAAACAATGTACATACCTTAATTAAAAAATACTTTGCTAAAAACCGCTAACTAGCATCTGAACCTTCAGCAAGTTATAATCTTTTTTGCTGGTGAAGGTTTTACCTTCAATTTGTGAAAAATGCAGTATCCGCTGAATGCAATAAAGCAAAGCACAATAAAGGAGGTGTGCCTGTAGTAACAGCAATGAGTGAACTTCAGGTACAGCTGGAGCTATCAGTTATTCACACGACACTTAAGTTATAAGTATCAATAGGATCCCCATATAAAATGTTGAAATAAATATTTCACTAACAATCTATTGTTAGGATGCATACATAGGTGATAATTTTTTTTTTTTTTCTTTTAAAGCAAGGGGGTGACACCACAAAAGCCAGGTGACTTACCTGCATAGAGGGAGCAGGAAATAGAATCAGGAAGAGTCAAAAGGGAGCTACAGATTACTGGACATGTACATTTCACACTAGCAGGTAGAACATTGGATGGCTTCTGGCTTTACAATTAATCTTTAAACTCTACATGTCTTAAATACATTCAAAATTTAATTATGTAGAAAATATCCATGAAACCCAAAGCTGTTTCTTAAAAAAAAAAAAAACACAATAAAACTGATCAACTAGCACTCCAATGAAATAGCTCCTTGTCAAAATCATCTTCTCACCAAATGCAATGATTAGTTCTCTTATAATTGAACTCAGGCTTTCAGCAATCTAAAGAGTTGACCATTGATTTCTTGTAACGGTGTTCCCATGGTCACTGTGACACCCCAACACTCCTGCTCAGCCTCCAAATATTGGGAGAACCTCAAACCTGGTTCTGAATCCTTGTCTCTGTAGTATCTTCACAGGCAACCTTATTGACTCCCACGCCTTCAAATACTGCTTATGCCGATGATTCCCAAACGAGTCTCTCTAGCCCTAGCCTCTTCCTTAAATCCTAGACGCGTAAATCTGTTCCTCTTGCTCACCTGGCCAGCCAGCCACCCTCAGGTCTACAGCACTCTTCTGGGAAGACCGGGATAGGAGTCTTGTCACTGCTACTTGTAGCTACAGCCACGAGCAGCCCGTGGCCCACAGCCCAGTCCACAGCTTCAGCTGCCCTCACGACCCACAGGTGGGTCAGTTTCTGGCAACACCTGACCTTTAACATAGACTTTATGCCTCTTGATTCAGTTGGAATGTGACTGTGGCTATTTGATGAAAATGCTCTTTTTTTAATAAGTGGTATTTTCAAATTGGTTGTACCCTTCTGTCGTATGTTCAAGTCTGGAGACACATTCTCCATAGGATTAGGGAAATCACAACGCCATGAATTCTCCTGGTGCGGATACTCAGGAGAAAAGGCAAGCCTACTCCCCTCTTTAGCCATACCTATTTTTTTTTTAATATTTTTTTAATATATTTTATTGATTTTTCATAGAGAGGAAGAGGGATAGAGAGTTAGAAACATCGATGAGAGAGAATCATCGATCAGCTGCCTCCTGCACACCCCCTACTGGGGATGTGCCCGCAACCAAGGTACATGCCCTTGACCGGAATCGAACCTGGGACCTTTTAGTCCGCAGACCGACACTCTACCACTGAGCCAAACCGGTTTCGGCTAGCCATACCTATTAACGCAGCAGGACATCAGGGAAGCAAGTCTTTCCACTCTGAGGATAACTGTGCCTTCAGCCACGGTAACTGACCTTCCTGGGCAAGAGGCGTCCTCCATGACAGAAAAGCTAGGCTGAAGCTTACCTGAGCTGCCCAGGACAAGAGCCTTCTCTCTACCAGACCATAAGAGCACCATTTATCCAGTTAACTGCCACGTGTCCAAAATGGAAACCATTCAATATTTTTAATTTAATTAAAAAATCGATTTGCAATGAATATTATAAAAATAAATATATTACTCACAATTCAGGTGTTCTTGAATATTTTCAACAGCTGAAAATTCTCAAACAAACATGATTTTAAAGTTAATTAAGGATGCCACTTAGGGAAAACATTTTTTTTTTTTAATAGACACGTGTGGCGGGTGGGGAAGGTCCGCCGCTTGTGTCTAGATGGCGTACAATGGGTTATTATGAGCCAGACTCTATGCATGCATTAGTGCTAAATCTTTACAACTCTGAAACGTAAGAATGATTACCATACTTTGGATGAAGTGACCCTTCCAGGGCCATGCCTTCAACCACTCAGTGTCCCGCACTCATCAAACCTTTTGCTGATTCTGGTTGATGGGACCCTGCTCTGTGACAGGCCTGCCTGTCCATTAGTGACTTATCCAGTGAGTCTGCAATGAGTTCTTCCAAAGCCTCATGTAACCACCATCCCTCGACTGCCCTGACCTCTGTGGTCCACATCTCCGTCTCCCAGACCCACAGTTCTGATCTTATTGAGACCTGCATCTTGGCCCTGCCAGGACTGTCCTGGTTCCACTCAGGATGTCCCTTCTCAGAAGCTCCTTCATAACCCACAAATCTGGCCTAATTGCTTGATGGCCCCTAAATTCAGATCGAGTTTTATTCCCCAAAACAGAATTGTCTAGAATAGTTTCTACTGAGAATCTCTGAAAAAAAATTTCAAATACAAGCTCCAAAGTCAAAACACTTTGGGCAATTTCTCTTGGAGATTGCAGTACACAATCATTTCTGAGAAGCTTTCCACAGATAAAGCTGCTTCAAGTTTCTTCTTTTATGGGTTTTTTAACTAAATAAAGTGTATACCCTACAAAGTTATTTTTTTTAATATATTTTTATGAATTTTTAGAAACCTCGATGAGAGAGGAACATCTATCAGCTGCCTCCTGCACACCCCCCACCGGGGATGTGCCTGCAACCAGTGTACATGCCCTTGACCAGAATCGAACCTGGGACCCTTCAGTCTGCAGGCTGACGTTCTCTCCACTGAGCCAAACCAGTTTCGGCAGAAGTTCTGATCTTTACCATGGATTCCTTTCTGCATAGCCAGGACTCCACAGAAATCAGATGTGGATATCAGATAATTAAAAGGGTATAGTCATCCCCAGTATCTGTGGGAGGTTGGTTCCAGACCCCACACTCATACCCAAATCCGAGGAAGCTTAAGTTGCATATGTACAATGGCATAATATTTGCAAATAATATTTGCACATCCTCTGAACACCTTAAATCAGCTCTAGATTACTTAGAATAACTAACATAAATGTTATGTAAATAATTTATACTTTATTGTGTAGGGCAGTGTTTCCCAAACTTCTTTAAGAGAGCACTAGTTAAGTATATAATTTTACCTATATGTCCCAAAAATTCTAGTTTAGCAATTCTTAGTTGGGATTCAGAAATCTGTATTTTATCAACTCCACCAGGTGGATTCTCATCATGAGAGAAGTTTGGGAAACACTGGTGTAGGGAATGACAAGAAAAGTCTGTACATGTTCAGAACAAACACAACCTTGGAGGCCTAACTACACATCAGCAACAGCATGACTTTTTTTTATTTTAGATGTTTTTGATCAGATTTGTTGAACCTGCAGATGCAGAACTCACAGATATGAAAGGTCACCTGTATCATGTGAATACTGGGTGGGTAATATTCCCTTTGGCTCTACATTGAAACTAACACATTGTCTAATTTATTAGTTTTGCTGATGAAATAATTCATATACTGAAGCACATTAATTCTAATTCTGTCAATCCCTACCCCCAAAACTTGGCAAGTGAACTGTGTCTCCACAGACTCCTCAAAAAAGAACCATATACGTGTGAAAGATAATTGCTTTTAATTTTCTAAGTTTTCACTTATGCAACATAATAAGGCAGATTTATGTGACTTGATATGACATTTTTACAAAAACATTTCCCTCCAACATCTGGTCAGTAGTACGTATATAAATATTTACAATGAAAAAATAGGCAAGGAAAAACGAAACTTTCATTATTCAAGTCAATTTCTTCCCAATGCTTATCAGAATTTTGAAAATAAAATACTTCATTAACCTTCTAGTCATACATATTTACACTTCAGCCAATGGTTTAAAAAAATCTAGGTTTAACGATGTTTTTGTTGCACATCACTCTTATTTGTTCTACACTATTTTAGCAGTCATGTGAAAGAGTAAATTAAATATAAAAAATGTAAACTTTGAAGAAAAAAGAATAAACATGTGTAAATGCATTAAGATATAAATGTTCTTACAGAGGTTAATATTTTACAACACTAAGAAACAAAATAAAATGCTCTATATTTTCTTAGTAGGGACATTTTGTTTAGATTTAATTTGATTATATTAACAAAAATTGCCTCTAAAGAGGATGTTAAAAAAAATACCAATGACATTACCATCTTAACTGATTAATATCCATTGCCCTAATTTTCTCTAAAAGAAACTGTGACTTTTTAAAAAAGTGATAAATATAAATTATATCATGAAGAGCTTAAGAAGCCTCAACAAAGTGTGGTATCTTTGAAATATGAAGACTTTAAAAAATAAATGTGAATAGTGCAAACCAGCCTATTTAATTTAGTGCTATTACAAACATCTTCAACTTCAATGAATAAAAACATGACTTTGATTCTACCGGACGCCATGCCTTTGAAACACTGAAGGATTTGTGGGCAGGAATGGTGGGTGCCCGCAGCATGCCAGTTGCCTTGAGAATCTAAATGTGGAAGTTAATGTCAAATACTGCAGTTAATAGCATTTGCAGCTCCCTAAGCCGGTAGGAAGTCAGGTGTGGGAACTGCGCCGCCCCCTGGTGCCCAGGGACACGCGGAGTCTTGGCTCTCTGGCCTTATAATGCTCATTAAAGTCCAACCTGAAGCTAAGAAACCGCAGACTTTCATCAGAACTGGTCATCAGCAACACCAAAAACTGTTGCACAATCCCCTAAAGAGAAATAAAAAGAGCAAAATATTCATTTCAGAAAGGAACTATACACAAAACATGCCCCCGCAATGAAATCCCGCATGGTGTTACTTTTTCCTTCCAAACATAAACACAACTATGGCAAGTGTACTGAGAGATGGAATCTGCACCAGAACCTTGCAGTTTACCCACCTAATGGAGCCCACATTAGGAAGAGATGTCCATTTTACAAATTAGCAACCAATAAATTTTATCTAAAAGAACCAATAGATTTTTCCATTTTGTCCCAAGTTCTCCCAGAACAATCAAAAAGCAAAGTAACTGATGTTAAAACACCTTATTCTTTTTACATTAAAAACTTAGCATTACACTTTTCATCTTTCATACTATCTAATAAAGAAGGAATACGCAAATGGACTGTCACGCCATGCAAAATCTGACAGCGCCCATAGCCACAAGATGGCGGTGCCCAGTCCTTTCAGCCCGGCCGGGGCTGGGGAGGTGGCAGGCGTGCAGTGCAGCCGGACCCACCCTCAGGCCCCAACCACCCAGGGCCAGCCCAAGGCACAGGCAAGCATGGATGGAACTAGAGAGCATTATGCTAAGTAAAATAAGCCCATCAGAAAAAGATAAATATCACATGATCTCACTCATTTATGGAATATAATGAACAACATACACTGATGAACAAAAACAGATCCAGAGACAGAGAAGCATAGATCAGACCATCAAACCTCAGAGGGAAGGTAAGGGAGGGTGGGGGTAATGAGGAGAGATCAACCAAAGGGCTTGTATGCATGCATATAAGCCTAACCAATGGACACAGACAATAGGGTGGTGAGGGCATGAGTGGAGGAGTGTGGGGGCAACAGGGGAATAAGGACACATATGTAATACCTTAATCAATAAAGAAATTTAAAAAATAAAATAAAAAATATGTCTGTATGAACGTAAACCAGTCATTACTACCACTTATGAAACGTTTCCAACAAAATACAATAGTAGGTTAATGTTAGAGTAAGAGCACTTGCAAAAGAGACACTTCCCCCTTAGATAGACTCAAGAAAAATATAAAATTCAAAGCTATGAGGATCAAAGGAAGCACACTAGAAGCCTATGGTACAATGTGGTGATGCTTCATTTTAAGTTTTGAACCACATGACTATCACAGCACACAAAAACGTAATTTTTAAAAGTTTGATTTGCCTTTCTAATTAGTTATTAGCAACCAAATGGAAAAATTCTTCATGAAAATCTTTTCATCTGTTATTTTCAACATGAAAATCACACTGAGAAACAGATGAAATCAGAAACCAAACCCACAAAATAGAAATATGGCCTCTGTGGACCAACTTCCCTCATCAGCAATTTCACACTTGTTCTCCTTGAGCTCAGCCCCTTGGCTCCCTGGCAGCTCCTTGCACTTAAGATCCTGATGTACCTCCCTGTGCACTTCTCTCCAGGTCTGTGCTGAAGAGATGCATGCTGGTTTTCCCAGAGCAGCCACCCCCTGCAGCCCCCAACACTGATAACACTAGAACCACCCCCAGCAGGGCTTCTCAGACCTGGCTGCACCACAGGTCACAGCCACCGTTGGGAACCACGGTGAGTGCTACTCACCACTACACTGATTGAGTAATTCCCTTCTAATCATTTTGACAGCCAACAGTCAATTATAGAAAATGAGCAATGTGATTTGGACAGGATTTTGTTACTCTAATATGTACCTGGTAGAAATGCGTCAATATTCGCAACTGGGAACACATTTTTGGTATAGACTCTTGAAATTCTTTAATCCTCTTGTTCTCCTCCTCTTCCTCTGCTGCTGTCACTCCCCACTGGCCCTGAAGAGTCAGAAGTACCAAATTAAACTGAAATCTGGATGGAAGAAATTGTCAATGTAGGGCTGAGAAGAAATGTCAGGAGTTGGGGTGGGGGGCGCTTTCTACGTCCCTCTATACTACTAAGAACTTCTATGGTAATTTTCTGATGCCAAACTGTTCTCTGCCTTACTTTATCCCCCAATTAAATATGTA